TAAAATATGCGAATCGAAGTTATACCGTGATAATAAACGATTTACCTGTATTAAGAAAAGTTGCCGTAAAAGTATTTCAATATTCAGTGATTCGTTCTTTTCAAAGAATCATATTAAATGCAATCAGACTCTAATGATCGGATACTTGTGGTTGTGTAAATGCTCATATTTCTCGATTCGGATGTTGACTGGCCATTCACCCAATACAGTATCTGACTACATGAAATTCTATCGAGAATTAGTTGTTGATACATTAGGTGACCACGAACAGAAAATTGGTGGTGATGGGATTATTGTAGAAGTTGATGAATCTAAGTTCGGTAGACGTAAATATCATCGTGGTAGAAGGGTAAAAGGTATATAGGTTATAGGTGGTATTGAGAAGACTAATGAGAGAGATGTTTCTTGGTTAAAGTGCAGAGACGTGATGAGAAGACCATTAAGGAAATAATCGAAAGGTATATCGAGAAGGGGTCTATAGTCCATACTGATTGCTGGAGAGAATACCTGCATATTGATGAATTGAATGTTACTCATAAAACCGTTAATCATTCAAAGCATTTTATCGATCCCGAAACAGGTGTTCATACCAATACCATAGAAGGTCTGTGGAATGGAATCAAATTGCAAATCGCACCACGAAATCGAAACAAAGAATATATTGAAAATCATTTACTTGAATTCATTTGGCGTAAAGTAAACAAGGATAGACTTTGGGATGCGTTTATTGATGTGTTACGTACAACAGCATATTATGAATCAGATATCACATTGTGACGATTGACTATATTAGTACACGCTATTCTATAGTTCACCCTAAGTTTATATATTATATGATATGTATTGAGTTACAAAGGTCTCTTACTAGAATATTAGCTATGTAATATAAGATAGTATAGTATAAGATGTGAGAAATTTGATTAGATATAGAAATAAACATGAAATTAGATATATGTACGTAGAATTAGATATAAAATTAAAATATACAGATTATTAAAAGATTTTGTAATAAATAGGGACAGATAGTAAGACACGTGAAGGGTAGACACTGTTAATTAATAGTTTGTGATATTTTGTATTTTATTTATTTATTTTAATTCTAGCAAATAAATATATTTATTTAAATCGTAAATTAATCATCCTTAACCTAGGTAATAATGGATATATATATTTCCGGTTTCATATTTAATAAGCAATAGTATCATATCTGATATACAGACCTTTACCCATTGAGACAATATAGATGCCTTGGTGAAACTTATCAGATATTTTAGGGAAAATGACATGTTGATATTTTCTCTTATCGTGATCGTTATCTTATTATTCGTAATGCTATCATTTTTTTCTAGTTTAGTTGTACACCCGATGTTAATATCATCCTTCGTATTTAAATTCACAACTCCTGTTTCTTGATTAGTAGTTATGGCTAGGTGATCTCCTGCGATTGTTTGATCTTGGCATATTCTTTTAAACTCACTGGATGCTATTTCAATAAATATATTGTATACAACCACTAGTATATCAATTTGCTCCTGGTCGATATCAAGTAATCAGATCTCATATTTGGTCTCTTTACCATTGTCAGGATTTATAAATATCACATATAACCTATCAGTAGTATTTTCTTTAA